ACAAAAAAACTCTGAGAAGCCTGATGCCTCCTCTTAAATACTTCCAGTGGCAGGGGGCTCACTACCCATCCCCAAGGAAGCCCATGCCATCTTCAACAGGTTCTAATGGTTGGAAAAGCATTTACCCGACCTCACTGAGCCCCCATGCACCGGGCACTGTGCTAAGTGCATCGCATAAATTATCTCACTTAAGCCCAGCACTGACCTATGCAATGGGGGCTCATTTTGGCTCCTTTTTTTTATATACAAGGCAAATGGAGGCCCCCACAAAACTAGATCACTTGCCCCAGATCACAGGGCTCGCGGCAACCTGCCTCAGTGCTGGTTTGCTTAGCCACTCACTCCACCAGGGCCTCTGGTAGCTCCTGCCGGCTGCCCCACCTGCACCCGGCCCCAAGGCCATTGGAACCCAGGAGGCCTTCCCGCCTTCATAGTAAAGGGAAGTGTGTCGGCCCTCAGCACACCCCATCTGCAGTACCCTGGCCTTGTGGTTGTGTGGGTGTCATTTAGGACAGATCTTATTCCTTTTCGTTCAGTATTTCATTTATTGCTTAAGAAACCCTGGTGGTCGCTGCCCGCTCAGCATGTCCTTTCCCCATCAAGGATTAGGACACGTTTAGAAACTGGCGTCTAAGCAAATAGGCAGGAATTAATACAAGGCATCTGATGTCATTTGACCACTCTCACGTTCCTGGTTTTCAACTAAATATGGTACGTGGCTGGAGCAATTATGTAGGGTACACACATTACGTGAGGGACCCCAATGACACAAATTCATGGAGAGGTACCCCCATAGGGAGGACGCTGAAGCTGCCAAGAAATGCCATGAGGTAGCATGATGGGAGTGTGATCCGATGGGAGAACAGGCAAGAGAGTAAGCCAGCTATGCAGGGGGGTTACCCCCTAACCGTCCTGTGTCTGCCCCCAGAAAACCGCAAGAACGTGGCTTTCCATCTGTCTTCCCACCAAGGGCCTGTCCTTGCCGGCCCCACGGTGAGGGCTGAGCACCGATATGGAACGTAATCCGTCGTCTCAGAAATGAACCATATTCTCCAGTCAAAGGACAGTCATTTGTCCTGAGTAATAATGGCAACGATTGGAAGAGACACTGCACTCTTTGGTAAAGAAGTTGATGCTTTTAAAGGACTATCCCATTCTTCAACTTCCCAGGAAGCCAGGACTCACTGGTGTTTGAGGGGGTGGGGCATGGAAGTGAGAGAGGGGGAGGGATGGAAGGAGGCGATGGATTAGCACCAATGGGAACCAAGTGGCACCTGCCCGAGGCCCTAACACAGGGGTGGGCAAACTTTTTGACTCGAGGGCCACAATGGGTTCTTAAACTGGACCGGAGGGCCGGAACAAAAGCATGGATGAAGTGTTTGTGTGAACTAATATAAATTCAAAGTAAACATCATTACATAAAAGGGTATGGTCTTTTTTTTTTTAGTTTTATTCATTTCAAACGGGCCGGATCCGGCCCGCGGGCCGTAGTTTGCCCACGGCTGCCCTAACATCAAATCTACGCAAATAAAATGCCTCTGTGCCCGCTGGCTTCCACATCACATGTGATGCCTACATGGATTTTCTCCACGTTTAGAAAGTGTATTTGGGTGGCCAGACGTAAGGTAGTGACTACGTGGAACATACAACATTCACCTGGGGGGGGGGGGGGGGTCAAGGGATCCCAGAAAAATTCACAGCCACCCTCCTGAGTCACCAGAGACCTTTTTGTATCAGTTGAGAAATATCAGACACATCAAGAAGCCCCAACTGAGAAAACAAACAGTGGTTGCAAATACGAGTCCGGGTCTAAAGTCCTAACAGCAGACCATCTGACTGGCAGCCATGACTTAGGACCTGGATCCTTCTGACATGGGCATTTCCACGTGGCTGCAGGCACTGGCTGATTGAAAGATGGTTCATGATCGTCCAACACACTGCAGCTGGGTGTGAAATGACCCCAAACACCCACTCGGGGGGCCTCGGAAGCCCCACTCCACGGTCACCTGCGTTCCTTTCCTTCCTGCAACACTCGGCGTCCATGTCGGGTGTCCTCCTGCAGACACGGGCCAGGGTCTCCAGCAGGGCCAGGGTCTCCAGCATGAGTGAGGCTCCAGGCAGCAGGAAACAGCATTGGTTTCTATGGAACAGACCCTTTGGGGCAGAACCAATCACGGCCACCGTTGCATCCTCAGGGCCCAGGTCACTGCTCAGCTCGCCGTGGGCACTCGGTATAAATTTGCCAGCTGTCCGTCCTGGGAGACCTCACTTTCGTGTTCTCACCTCTTCCTCCGGCGCAGTAGGGATCACAGCAGGTGACCCTCACTGGCGGCTTATTTTGTCCCAAACACCACACTAACCGCTCCACTGGCATCGGCCCCATGAACACCCACCCAGCAAGGTGACATCCGACCATCATTTCTCTCTTCCACAAAAGGAAACCAAGGTGCCCAAGACCCAGTCACCTGTCCGATGCCCCTGCCAGCAGGTGGCAGGACCCGGATGCAACCCCTGGTCCCGGCCTCCTGGCTGGAGCCACTTCCCTTGGATGCTTCATTCTTATATTCGCTGTGGGCACCAGAGGCTCAGGGTGACCCACAGTGCTCCCTCAAGGGGAGTGGGGAGGGTCGCTCTGCACAGGAGCTGCCCCCGTGGAGACGCCCCTGCAGCAGCTCCACCGGAGAGCCCACGGTCCGGTCCGCCTGCCGTTTGAAAGTCATTTGGGAACCTGGGCCCCGGGCCAGGCGCTGAGATGGAAGGATGAACAGTCTGCGGTTCTGCTCTCCAGGACGCGCAGGCTGGTCTGGGGTGCAGATGAAGAGACGGACGATGTCAATACAGCGTGGCATTGACACAGACTTCTGCCCAGCCGGTGTGGCTCAGTGGCTGGGTGGCGACCTATGAACCAGGAGATCACGGTTTGATTCCTGATCAGGGCATATGCCCAGGTGGTGGGCTCGATCCCCAGGGTGGGGCGTGGAGGAGGCAGCCAATCAATGATTCTCATCATTGAGGTTTCTATCTCTCTCCCTCTCCCTTCCTCTCTCTGCAATTAATAAAAATATATATTCATTTTTTTAAAAAAAGAAACAGACTTCTACCAAACACCGCCGAGCTGGCAGCACCTCGCTAGGCCCTGAACAGGGTGTGGGGACGGTGCAGACCCTGCCCTCGTCTGCCCCCAAACAGCTCAGAAGCTGGGCAGTCGGCACTGGAGCCCGAATGCAGGGTCGACACCAAATGTGTTAGAGGCGTGCAGAGGGGGTGAGATCATTGTGAGCTGAGGTCATTGCCACCCTCGGGGAGATGAAAGCGAATCGGTCCTGGCAGATGCCCCGAGTGTCCCCGTCATCCTTAAGCATTTCTCTGGGGACGGTTCTGTGGGAGAATTGGATGGCAGCGCTTGCCGTGGCCACATCTGTACAGCAGTCCTCGCTGGGGGCTCCCATCACTGCCCGGGAGCCTCCACGGTTCCCCTTCGGCTAGAGAAACCTCAGGAGAACATCATCTGAGTCAAGGGTGTGCAAGGCTGAGCTCGGGTCAGTGGCTGGGGGATTGCTGAGGGTCTGTGAGGTCGAATAAGCTCCTTGAACTTGGCTCTGACTGTGAATAGCACATATGAGCGGCGTTAGCACTGCGAAGGGTAACATCTAGTGGAAATAGCCAGGTCTTTCTCCGGAGGGCCACACGGACACGCCCAGTTTTCAGAGCCCGGACCAAGGCTCTGGGGTGTTCTCTCAGACTTCACGGAACTAATTTTCCAAAGTGCTCTGTGATTAATGCTTCCCCCAGAAGATCCTCTCCGTGTCAAGGGGAAGAGGAAAATAAAAGCATTCCTGCAACTGGTGTACACCTTGGGCAGAGCAGGTTCACGGTCAGCCTGATGTGAGTAGCAACAGAGCCAGTATTTCACGGGACAGCCTGTCAAAGGCCAGCCAGGCATGCTCATCACTTCTCAAATGCAGAAGTCCAGTGGCCATGGAGTTTGCAGGAGGCGTTGCTATGAATAGAACCCTTTCAGTTTTTTTCTATGGGATTTCGGAGCGAGAATAGCTCATTTAGTCTTTGTAGCACCTGGCACAGAGTCTCTTAAGCACAATCTGTTTCTGTGCAATGCATGGGTTTATTCATTCATTCTTCAAGTAGTTACTGAGCACCCGCTAAATGCAAGACACTCACTCATATAGAAGCTGGAGAAAACTGACAAAGTTCCTGCCCTCAGGGAACTTGTATTCTTATGGAGGAGGCAGACATATGAAGTAATAAGATACACCTGTTACATATATTCTAATTTGTGATAGATGCTGTGAAAAAAACAAAAACAAAAACAGAAACAAGCAGTGACTAATTTTAGGGAAACGTATATTTTGGGTTCAGGCCCCAAAAGGATCTTGCTACAAAGGGAACCCTGACGCTTCATTTAAAAAGGAGCCACTTGCAAAGGACAGAGAAAGGTATATCAGTCATGAGGCATAGCTTGTGCAAATGTCCTGGGGCAGGAGGGAGCACAGCATAACTGGAGAAGCTGAGAGAGAACCAGTGGGGCTGCAGTGTGATGAGTGACAGGGAAGGGGCTGAAGGAGCGGGCAGGGGCCAAGCCAAGTGCTCCATGCTCTGAAGGTGTCCTGCCTTCCCCATTCTTCTCTCTGGCTTCACTTAGCTACTCATTGCAACAGACCAGTGCCTGACTCCTTCCCCTCCCCGCACCGAGCACCCCAGGAGCACTGTGAGGCTTAACATAAACCGGACACACTCTGGTCCCCCTCTGCTCTGTTCCAGCAGTTTCTGCAGTGATGAAGAAGCAGGCTCCGTAAAACACATGCTCTTCCCACCCCACCGAGCCAGCCCGGGGTGGCGGACTCTGTATGCTGCCACGGTTGCTGGTAATAATTGTTGCATTAATTGGTGCTGTCCGGACCAGACAGAACGTAAAAGATCCCACTGTGTCCAATAATTAATGTTTTTCCCTCACTGCAACGCCATTAATAAGCGGCTCTTCCAAGAACCGAGTAATTGGCTGGCTGGGCGTCATTAGGGTATTTATAGATAAGCTTTGGTCTGCAGACGGAGAGGAAAGCTGATTATGTTTATTTAGACTCTATTATCTATCGCTAATGTGTTATCGTGCGTCCCGATCGTCCCCGTTCTCCGGGTCCTAACGACACAGGCACAGCCGCCGTGCGGTCTCGGTGACCTGCCACACGGCTCTCCCTGTTGCAGGGGAGACGGGGGTCGAGGTGGGGGGGGGGCCTCACGGGCTCCACTCGCTCCCACTTATCCACCGCAGCCCCTCCCTTGCCACGGAGAAATTTGGAGCGAGGCTCTCAGAAACACCAGAAAGACAGCTTCTCCTAATTAAACCTCAGAGGAGTGCAAGTTTCTTGGGCTCGTGATCATCTGAAGGGTTTTTGAAAATGTAACTCTGGTTTTTCAGAAACAGCGCTCTGAAAAAATAGAGGGAGGAAGAGGCAGCTGGGTTTGGAGACGCGGTAGCAAGCGATGAAGTCTCGGCGGCCGGCAAGCCCTGGCGGAAACGCACAGCTCCCGGGGCCGGTGCTCATTGGGCCCTGGGAGGTGGGCACAGGGCGCCTGGGCTGCTCTGGCTCCCAGAAGCCTTCGGTCCGTGTCTCCTTTGCTGGAATTTTTGTGAGATTTCTCAGGTTTTTAAAAAAAAGGCATCAATACACCACAATAGTGTGGCTGTGCCTAATGTCACATTATTGTACAGTTGAAAATTATTAAAACAATAAACGCTGTTATATTACCAGGGGAGTAAATAGAATAATGCAAGTTATAAGCAGAATTTAAAGTCTAAAAAATCTAAGGTTTTAACTTTATAACTGTAATATGTATCATATTAATTTTAGAAACAAACAAAAAACCCAACAACTTCTAAATGACCTTGTCTGCACACAAAACGATCCTCAAGTTAACTCTGAAAATGCTTAAATTGCCCTAAC